CTACAGTTGAATTATCAGTCTTTTCTGTTTTAAGTTGTACATTTTGTGTGTTAAGGGATCATTCCCTATCTCAAAGTCATGAAAGTATTCTTATGTTCACTAATGTGTAAAGTCATGTTTTTCCACATTTGTTTATGATTCTTTAGGAATTTGTGAAATGTATAGTTAGATGGTTTTTAGCATGTCCGTAGAGTTGTGTAAATATCACCATACTCTAATTATATAATATTTTGTCATCCGTAAAAGAAAGCTTGTATCCATTAGCAGTTGCTCCCCACTCTTCTCTGCCCCCAGGGCTAAGCAGACACTTGATCTACTTTCTTTTCTGTTCTGGACGTTTCATGTAAACAGAATCAAATAATATGTGGTCTTTTGTGACTGGCTTCTTTCACTTAGCATAATGTTTTTGAGATTCATCCATGTTGTAGTATATATCTGTACTTTATTCCTTTCTATGACTGAGTAATATAAAAAAGTTATGTAAGACTAAACATTAGTCTCAGTATTTCAGAGTCGTTTAAATGTCTGTGTTAGGGATTCTGGGAAGATGACAGCAATGGTAGAATAGTTTCCTAGTCTTTTTATGACTTTCCCATAAAAACAGAACAAGTGGATAGGAAAAACAAAAACAAAAACCCCATAAAGAACATCTACAAGAAAGTTAGTTGACCATGTTTCTCCACAGACTCTCAAATACTGGTAGTTTGAGGACAGCCCACTAGCAGCTCCAAGACCTGTGTATTATTATTATCTACGTAGGAAGAAGAAGGAAGCAATGGAACGTCAAATGAATGTGAGAATCGAAAAATAGCCAGAAGGCAATCACTGGAAAGCTTGGAGGGCCAGTTTAGGAATACCAGCTGAAACTGGGAGGGGTTTTGCACACACTGATAATGGGTGAGTGAAAGAAGTCTTTTGTATAGTCTTAGGGGACTGAAGTGCCTTCATGAAACTTTAAAAACCAATCAAAGCTCCCTTCTGGGACGAGTCCTCACATGAGAAGGAACTGAGACTACAATTGAACATCCCCTGAAGAGTACCAGGGAAGGAGAAGGTCCAGATAAAAGTGGTGAAGAGGAACAGAACCAAGACATCTCAGAAAACAAAGAACTTTATTTTTAAACACTGCATGAAAACAAGAGGGAGTTTTAGAGTGTGAAGTTAGGCCAAGCCTCCTCCTAAAAGTTGAGGAAAATGAATTTCATTTTAAATATCAGCAATATGAAATGATTGTTGTCAAAGCTCATACAAAGTATTTAAAGCAAAGTGGACTCAGAATAACATTCCTATAGAAATGAAAGCACACCAAAAAGACATCCACAAAACAGGTGAAAACCATTAGATATTAAGACAAAAAGTAAGATGAGACACATAATCAGAATAAGACATTTCAAAAAACAAGTTTGCATAAGAAAAAATAAAAAAACTAGGTGGCAGAACTTTTTGAAGTATTAGAAATGAAACAAAATTTATTTTAGAAATAACAAATTAGGAAGAATACACCAGAGCATATAAACGTAAAAGTTAACACCTTTAAAAGAAGAGGACATTGAAAATGAGAAGGATTTTTTTTAAGAAGGTATAAAAAGGAGGTGTAAAAAGAATTTGATAGAAATTGATGTAGTAGAAAAAGGCAAAGAAAATCCAACATATGTATAATAGGCATCCCCAAAGAAGAGAAAAATGATAGCAAGGGAACAGAACAGATATTAAAAATTGCAATTAAAAAAAAAGCATTGTACTCAAGGATGACCACAAAAAACTATAATTTAACTGAATTAAAACCAGACTTGGAACTCCATTTTGAAACAGCAGAACACATACCTGAGAACATTGACACAGAAAGACCAACACTGAGATACAGTCTAATAAAATTACTTATGCAAGCAAAAGTCACAGTCTCCCATAAGGGAAGGAAAATCAGATTTTATACTTTTCAACAGTAAAAATTTCTAAGAGAAGACATGCTCTTATTGTGAGAGAAGATACAATTTATTATGGAATTCCATATTTAAGATACCCAAGAAAGCATGAGCTGAAGATTTTACATTTAACCAAACTATTTTCAAGAATACACGTCACAAGCTGTTATCTGTAGCTAGAACTGAAGGGTCTTGTTCCCACTAGCTCTTCCTGAGGAGTCTGCCGGAGAGCGAGCTTCAGAGAATCAGAACGGCTAGAGAGACATTAACGTAAGGCCTGGCGACGAGCACTACACAAAGGGGGTTAAAAACGAGAAAATATGGTCTGTAAAGAGGTGGGAAGGAGAATGAAGGGATCACATTAAAACATTTAACAAACTATTTTTATTAATCATATTGATAATGGAGTAGTATTGGTATTATGGTTTGGAGACTGTGTGTAATGTGAAATGAAAAGCAAATGAATGTTTTCTTCTAATTCTGTCATGGACTCTGTCCTTGAGAACCAAGATCCTCAGTATAGAAGAATAAAGATAAAGATGACTCAGATTGGGAAATATACATGTGTATGTGTTTGTGTGTGTTTGTGTACGTGTGTTGTGTGGTGGTTGGGCCAAGTGTTGGTTGGGCCAAGATAGAGAAATAAGTTAAACATTTAACTCCAGGAGTTTTAAAAAGGAATAGATAAATAACCTGTCTTCCCCAGGCGGGTAGGGGAAACAGTGGGAAGAAATTAACAGTGTTAAAAAGAAAAATCACAAAATGAAATCAATAAAATACAGATTTGCCCGAAAAAGTCAACTGGGAAATCTGGTCAGAAACATAAAAGACAGATTATTAGAAATGAGAAAAATGAACAGTTTCTAAGAAAATTATAAGTAGTTTCACTTGTAAATTAGAAAATCCAGGAGAATTACTTGGCTTTTTTATGGATAGGTTTTTTAATCAAACACATAAAGAACAGGAAGTTTCCATGCCGCTTAAATTAGTTCAGAGTACAGAAAAGAAATGATGGAAACACCCCAATTTACTTGATGAGGGGGTGAACCTGGACTCCAAAACCGAGCAACAGCAGATCTGCCGCATAACCTTTAATCTGACCTTCCGTATCCACCCAACATGAATGTTCTGAGGAGCCCTTCTGGACGGCGGGAGTGGGCCCCTGTGTCCTCTGGCTTCTGACTGGATTTAGAAATGGGGAGCCCTGACGGGAATTGGAGGAAAGGAGGAGACTAAAGCCTGGGTATTCGTTCCCCTGGCTCACTGCCTGTGTGTGAGCCAGGGGAGTAAATGTGAAATTGGTGTTCCATGTTAACTGTTGCAGCCTTGGGCTGGGCTCTCCCTCTCCTGAAAGCCCTCATCCTTTCGGGGCCTGTGGGCGGGAAGAGCGTCTCTGTCATTACTAACCTGGGGTATTGGACTGTCTCTCTGGTGATTCCCTCTGAGTCTTATCCAGCGCTGTGTCAACAGCCTGCTTGTAAATAAACTCTCCTTTAATTAACCTAGCTTGAGTGGGCCTTCTGCCTGTAGATCCTTTGTGATACAGTAGATGAGTTTAGGGTTTTTGCATTTGTAGAAAATATGAAATTAGAAGACGTACTAGTTTTGACTAAGGAAAAATACAATACACAAAAAATACTGTTACAGAAAAACATGAATTACAAAGTTGAGAAAAACAAATTTGTAAACGTTTAAAATGTATAATACAGACTAGGTGTTTATATACTATTTGATTATCAGCTGTTTATTAGTATTTTATCTCTGTAAAATTTTCTGAGTGTGACCATTGTATTGTGGTTACATAGAAGAATGCCCTTATTCTTAAGAGATATGCCACAGTATTTAGGGATGCAGTGTCATGACATACTAACTTTCAAATGGGACAGCAAAATAAAAGTGTGTGTAAGAAGAGACATGAAGCAAATGTGTCAAAATGTTAATAATTGGTTAAGTTATATGGTACCTTTGTTAAGGTATATGGGTATTCTCTGTTAATATTGTAACTCTTGCAGCTTTGAAATTTTCAAAATAAAAATTTTGGGAAAATATTCAAAACAACAAAAAATGAAATACTTATTTGGATAAAGTGCTTTATGTAAAATACCAGCATTTAAACAAGCAAATCACTGAAGGAGACATACGGAAGGCCCTCAAACGCAGTGATGCTTGACTGAATAATAAGGGAATGCAAATTTAAAAGAACTGTCATTGTTTACCTGTGAAAATAGCAAGATTCAAAAAAGGGATAATGCCCAATCCGGATGAGGAATTGAACAGAAGCATAGTTTGGTGCCTGCCATCTTGTAATGCACAGCCAGGCAGTATCTGTGAGTGCTTAAAATCTGTATGCTCTTTAATCCCAACAATTTCATTTAATGAATTAATTAAATATAATGAGGTAACAGAATGAGTAGGGTTCTATGTACAAAGTATGTTCACTGCAGCATTGTTAATAGTATACTGCAAGAGCCATTTAAACGTCTAGTTTAAATGTCCAAATTGGGGTTTGGTTTTACATACAGAATACTGTGTAACTATTAAGCATAGATGTTAATATATTAATATGGAATATTCCTGATTGTTACATTAAAAATAAAAGCAGTTTAGAGAAAAATACGTAAACTACCCGCTTAAAGAAAAATATCTGTGTATTATGGGCATAATTTTACATATACCTACAACACTAATTGAAAATACCTAATATATATGTAGGTGTATATATCATATATACACCAATGTTATGTGATTGGGAGGGTATCAAAAGTTAGGTAGGAAAATTATGGGAGAGTGGGACTTTTATATTCTTTCTTTTTTTTTCTGAGTTACAGATTTTTATTTATCCCATGAAATAACCGCAGATAATGTTACCACGTAACTAGTTGATTTTGCATTAGAGTGTATATTCTGTCTTTTTTTTTATTTTAGAGAAATAAAGATCGTATAATAGAAAATGTAACTAAACTTTAATTTTAAAAGACTGCGATAATTAAAAAAAATTTTTTTGTATAGTGTAGTCTTGCTGAGTTACAAAAAAGTCTGTTAAAAAACTCATTTTGCTCTTGTGTGTTTTGTTTTCAGAGCAGTGGAAAGAGCTCAGTGCTGGAAAGCCTAGTGGGGAGGGACCTGCTCCCCAGAGGCACCGGCATTGTCACCCGGAGACCACTCATTCTGCAGCTGGTCCACGTCTCACCCGAAGATAAACGAAAAACGACAGGAGAAGAAAATGGTAAATTTAGAATTGGAATAAGAATTATTTAAAAATTCTTCATTTTTGGTTGAATCTTAAAAAGATATGAATTGATTAGGCAGAAATTAGTGGCTGTAGCAAAGCTGGGAGCCTTGTGAGGAAAAGCGGTGTGTGTCTTTTCCCTTGTAAGGAAAGAACAATGTTTGTTGTTTTTGAGGACAATGAGTAAACTTGTTGGGAATAGTACCTTTTTGGTAATTCAGTTTAGTAACCTGTTGTTAATGCCGTTTAATGGAGGATTTAGTTATCTCACTAAACAGGAATTTTTTTATTTTTTATTTTTTATTTTTAATTTATTTGGGGAGGGGGTGAGTCTGTTTGTTTGTTTATTTATTTATTTATTTATTTTAATGGAGGCGCTGGGGTTTGAACCCAGAACCTTGTGCTTGCTAAGCATGCACTCTACTACTGAGCTATACCCTCCCCCACCAGGAATCAGTTATTTAAAAAAGTTTTTGTGTCTTTTGGAGTGTTTAACCCCTAGTGTTTCAAACTATGTTTTTACTTTTTCATTTTGTTTTAGGATTTAAATATTTTAGATTCTCATTTAAAGATTTTATTTTAAATAAAATTAAAACGATTTAGTTTTTCAGTATAGCAGTGTTATCTCACCTTCCTTTTTCTGATCTTACCATGTGTCTGCTAATTTTGAATCTTTGGCTCTTTAATCTAAGATGAATATTATTTCTAAAAAGTTTTTTTTAATTTCTAAAAGAGATTATTATTATATTTTATTTATTTATTATT